CCGGCAATTTGTATGTAATAAACTACAACGGCCATAATGACCTTGCTGCCATAAGCAGCACCTCTGGTGAACTTTACAGTCGGTAAGTGCATTTCAATTGTCGGGCCGCCTAGACCTCGATGGCCAAGTAACTTTACCTCGAACTGGAATTTCCCTTCAATTTCTTCAGTTTCTTATTGATTACACCGTATGGAAGGTGTACTTTGGTCTTATGAAAGAAATGTATTCCTAATGTTATAAAATATTACCCACGTAATGTCATTGACTATTTTATCCGGTACTAGCATTTCCATGGAAAGCATACATATGATTGGCCAATTTTTATATTGTTGAAAAGAATAAAAGGCCATGACTTTGTGTATTCACATCTACTTAACATAATAGAAGTTTCACGTCAACTGTTCTGCTGGTGTAGAATTTCCTATATAAGTGTCCTCTCCTCTTCCTTGATTTCATCAAGTAATCATATTGCATTCTCAAACAATGGCTATCCATGCATTACGTTTTCTTGTGCTAATACTTTTTATTAGCTTTGTTCAATGTCGAATTCTGAGACTAAACTCCTCTGACGATTTAATCTCAGATGGAGTTGATCGTATTGACAATCAATCTTCTATTCTTTACGCAAATGTTTCTATTTCCTCCACAAACACTTGTGAGCACCAATATGGCTTCCTACCATGTGCAGAAAATGCCGGAGGTTACATTTTTCAAATACTGATTTATCAGGGCCTAATCATGTTTGGAGAAAAGGAGCTGACTGCGGGGAGCAGGGTGCTATTTAATATTCTTGGCGCAAGCAACATCGTGGGTATCATTTTTCGAATTCTCGTGGGGTTACCTGCAATATTGATTATGATCGGTAAGTTGTTCACAAATCACTAACATTTTTTTTTTTCACCTTTCTTTTCATTCGTTCCTTGACAATCGATAATCTCAGTATCTTATATTGTTAAAAAAATTATAAGAATTCAAATTATATATCAATATTTTCTGCCTTCGTGCTCATGAACAAAGTCCGTTCATCTCCCCGCTTGCAGTATCTGGAGTTTTCAGTAGCAAAGAGGAAGCCCAATCTAAGGTGTCACTTGGAGTGGGTATTTATGCTGGAATTACTGTATTTACTCTTACCTTGCAGTGGGGTGTATGTGTAATTTTTGGCAGGAGAAAGTTGGCAGAGCAATCGACGTCTAGTCATGCAGAAGTAGCGCAAACTAGTTCAAATTGTTTGCTGGCAAAAGAAGTCATCACTGAATTAAAGGGTCTGCCTCTTTCTCTTGAATCATTTGAGATTTGCATGTATATATAAGACCTGATGAATCTTTCTTTAACTGTAGATACTGGTGTTACAATAGACGAAGAGACTCGTCGCATAGCTGGGATTATGCTCTTGTCTTTGATTCCTTACACAATCATTCAGCTAGTAGATATCTTCAAAATATCATTTGAAACCCACGTAGTGATTTTGATATTACTCATCTTATCATCTGCGATGCTTCTATTATATTTCGTCTACCAGGTAGCATGATTGATTCACAGCTAATGATGTAGAACTAGCACTATAATATACTTGTCCCTTTTGACATGATTTTACGTATAATATTTCCAATTTTCTTATCATTTTTTAGGTTATGAATCCTTGGATGCAACAAAAAAGTTTAGCCTACACAAAGTATGAGACACTGAGAACGGGGTTTCTGCAGCACATGCAACGACATGGAAAACTCATTGATGAACATGGCGAACTTAATGTTCCAGTCATCCAAACGTAATTTTGTAAAACATTATACGTAGATTTGCATATATAATCCAATGAAGGGCTCTCATTATATGCTTGAATTTGCAGTTTATTTGATGAAGCAGATAATGATGCCAACAACACTATAACGAAGGATGAAATAGAAAGTTTGATGCATGATTTAATCAATAAAGGAGAGATGAATGTTGACAAACAGTTTGCTGTTTCTGAACTAATGAAAGTATTTGATTTTAACCACGATGGGTCAATTAACCATCAAGAATTCGCCAATGGGTGCAAAAAATGGTTTATTGAAACCAAAAAGCCAACTAAAATTGATGATAACTCTTCAAGTATTCCCAAGGCAAGCTACTTTTTTATTGCATTTTATCCATGAAACAATTTATTTTCTTTAGATAGCTCACTGATTAGATTATATATGTTTTCCATATTATCAATTGACTGCAGATTGTCAATGAAAAAGTGGTGCATGGAGAGTCACTAGTATGGACTTTTATCAAATCTATATTACAAGTTTTGCTGGGTATTGTTGCAATGACCTGCCTTGGAGAACCTCTGACAACTAACATTCTACAGTTATCACATTCCATGAATGTGCCTTCTTTCGCCATCTCGTTTGTGGTAGTGCCATTGGCCATGAATTGCAGAGCCGCAATAGCAGCAATTTCTCCAGCCAGTCACAAGAGTGAAAAGAGTGCTTCTTTGACATTTTCAGAGGTATGTCTCTTAAGTAGCTACGACAAGTCCCCAAAGTATCGACAACATTCATTTTTTCAGAAAGGCATCATGTCTAAAATTTTTACAAGTGGTGATGGTGAAAGTTTAATAAAGGACCTTGGCGAAACCATATTCTCATATACACAACAACATAAAAATGCAAATATACTTATTGGTCTCATTCTGATTTACAGATTTATGGTGAAGTTGTAATGAGCAATATCTCGAATTTGACAGCACTGTTAGCAATTGTTTATGCAAAGGATTTGACTTGGGATTATTCAGCAGAAGTGCTAACAGTTTTGGTGGTATGTGCCATAGTAGGAATTCTTGCATACTCACGCGACAGTTATCCTCTATGGACTTGCTTATTGGCATTTTTCCTCTATCCATTCTCCTTAGGTTTGTTTTATTATGCTCAATTTGCATTGCGTTGGAATTAACCTGATTATGCTAATCAGGGTTTTTCCTGCTTCGACCAAAATAAACATGTCAACGTTCCTTCATTATGAGGAAGTAACAATCAAATAAACGTTAGCTATTGTGTAGTCATTTTTTTACTTTTTAGTTTTGTCTAGACTTATCTAGATCTACTTGTAATTATTGTATTGCTGATCGAATATAAATAAATGATGACCCGATTCACAGGTCACTACTAATAAATAGTGTACGTGATGCAAATTGTTTTGTTAATGTAACTTATGTAAGAGATATTCATTGCATTGTGAATGTAGTCCTCATTACTATTATAAAATATGTCCCTCGTAGGCAAAGTTTTGCACCAAATTTACATACAAATCATATGAATTTGATGTATTTATAAAACTTCGCAGATATATGTAAATTAAATATGAAAATGTAGAATGATGGTGGTTGAGAGGGTTAATTACATCACTAAAAAGTTGAGTAATTATATTGGTAGTTATTGAAGTTATTTTCTTAATTGAAAATTTTCCTTTATGATAAAAAGTCATTCAAATTTTCAGAGATTTCTAAAAAGATCACTGTAATGAAAATTTATGTGGCACAGTTAAATGTCAGCATATCACCCAACAAAAATTTTGTTAGTCACATCAGCAAAAATTATTTAAAAAAAGTGGACATACCATACAATTTAAACAAAAAATTCTTACAAAAATTAAAGTTGCATAATTACGTTTTCTCATGTCAATGTTCCCAATTACCAACTCCACTTTTTACTAACTTGATATAATAAACAATATTGTTTGTTGACATGCTGACATTTAACAATGACACATAGGATTTATACAGTTACATTTCTATATTAGTGTTACCATAGGATACTAGCTTTAATTATAATTAGCGTAATTACTTTAAACTTCAATGACCATTGGTGCAATTAACCCTGGTCAAGAAGAATGATGAATTAAGGCAACCATACTTATATTAATCCTTTTGTTTATTTTCTTTTGTAACATTGTAATTTAATGGTCAAAAAAATAAAAATAATCAATCAAAATACAATCTTAGTGGGAAAGGATAGATATCAATTATCAAGTCAATAAAGTAGAATTTTAAGAATAAAGAGGTCATAATAATAGGCATTGCATTTATACAAATTTGGAAATTATAATGAAAAATCATTTGGAAATTTCTAATAACCTGAGTGAATCAATTCCTTAAAAAATTAATCGATATTTTGAAGTTTACTCCGTATACAAATTCTATCCCTTCTTTGGGTGATATTTCAAATATAGAAACCACAAGATAAAAATTGACCCTGTTTGGTGCTACTAAAAATCAAAATTCTAATTCAAGTTAGCAAATTGACCCAGTTTGATTTTAAAATTAGTACATTATTATTTTGGGTACAACGATGTTATCTAGTACCCCCTATTATTCCTACATGGTGACAATATGTGGTATCTGGGTATTTGAAGAATTCACAGACTTCCGGGAAGCGAGAAAACAAGGAATACCATTAATTCAGTTGGAAGGTTGCTGCTAGATAGTGAAACAAGATATTTTGTCGTATTGTATTTTTGTCGATTTTTTAGTGTTTCCTTTTTTTAAATGTTTTTATTATTTATGCAACACAAATAGAAAAGAAAATAGATATCGTATCGTGGGTACTACCATTATAACAAGTTAGACCTTTTGATAAACACGTTTTGTTACATGTTGGTTGTCTTTTGTTACTGAATTAATCGCAAAATAATTTTAATAATGAAATAAGTAAGAAGGAATTCATAACACCAAGATTTATATGGAAATACAAGACGAAAAAAAATCACAAGTAGAGAATGAAAAATTCACTGTAATTAATAGTAATTGTGTTTACAATATCAATATCTCAATATTTTCAATTGAAATTTAAGTTCGCTAGCTCTAAGATGATGTATCTAATGTCTCTCATGTAATCTGGAGATAAAACAATATGGAATACATATAGAAATCTCTTTTTGGAGTTCTATATGAAGAAGAATATATCAAAATCAGAAAATCGAATTTTCTCGTCTAGGTGGCACCTGGACGCCACCTCCATGGTGCCCCGACGCCAGGGGCGCTGCCCCCCAAACGGGCGTTGGTGCTTTGGCTCCAGGCCTCTATTTTGTTCTTCATGGTGCCCACTTTCAGTAGATTGTGCTTCCAAAGTGTTTTTCTTCATCTCAAAATCCTTTTTCAAGCCAAACTCCCATTTCTTGATGGAATTCTAGAACTCGAGAATCACAACTCCTTTGACTTCCTTTCTCAATCTAAACAATTACAATATGCCATTGACATATGTAGGGGATATAATTTTTAGGAAAAAAAAACCAAGGAGAAAATACACGGTGAGCTATACTAGGTTTACTAGGCTGTTGTTGATAGTATTTAAATGGATATAAGTCGAGTTTTACTTATTGGTTGTAGGATTGTTCGATCTTCTTCTTTCATTGGTGGTCCTAACGATATGAGAAAAGAATGCATGGATGTGAGGGCATTAACTCCAAAACATAGAGATGCCTTTTTGACAATGATATGCAATTCAAATTGGCTTGAAACATAGCGAAAATTGGAACATTATGAGGAAATTTCAAATAGTCTTAATATGATTGGAAGGGTATTTAGATCTAAATTGGAAGAGTTAAAGAAAATAAACTTACAAAATACTATATATAGGGCAATTATATTTTACATACTATATTTTATAAATTTACAGTTTACATAGTATATTTTACATACTTTACAAAAAACACCACTTGCTAAACAATTTATAAATATGTCATTATGAATTGTTAAGTAGACAAAAATGTCTGTAATTGAAATAATAAATCACTATCTATATAAGTTTTGCATAATATATTTCTAATTATTAATTTTTCATATTTTTTTCCTTCGAAAGGAACTTTTGCATAAGATTTATAACAAAACACTGAAATATTTAAAAAAAAAAAAAGAAAAACATTTCATTTGACTCTTCCAAAATTGTAAAGACAAATAAAAATTCTACACCTTTGTTGTGTGCCACAATTATTAAATGGCTGTATAGTTGTGAAACAATATAATTAGAACTTATGTATGAAATAAGTATTATTCCTATAATGTTGACCTATTTCTATTGCAAATGTAGAATTTTGGGTCTAAACGTAGATACAAAACTATGTCTTTATAGCTAAAAAAAATTAATTTGCGGTCTTTTGAATAATAAACTAAAGCTAAAGATAAACCCATATGTTTACCAACCAATACTAAAATAGATTCATTTACAAAGTTTTAAGAAAGATAAAGAGCGAGTGTAGCTAGCTTTATAACTAATGATCGCAAATATATAAGCAGTTACTTAAACAAACTGTAAATTGTTATAAATGGTAAGTTTATTAATGAATGTCAAATGTAAACCTGTGCTCTAGAAATTATTACTGTTGTATCATTGATTCTCCTTTATAGGGTTTAGCTCTTAATAAAATACACACAAATATATTAATTTTTATCATCTCTTTTCTTTCTCTCTCTTTTCATAACATGTTATCAGTACGATAACTTAATTTTTCAAAATTTAGTAAAAGTAATCATTTTTTATAAGTATAAATATTTATCACATATACCAAAATTAATTTGGGGATGTGAATTTTTCTACATACATATGCATCAAAATGAGGCGAATTTTCCTACTTCGTATATGCCTTTTTTGCTTTTTCGCAAATCTATAATTATTACATTGTCCTATTTGTATGTCTATTTATGAAATCAATTGATGTGCATGTTTGAAAGATTTTTTTTTTTTATACATTTTTGGCAATTAATTTCTCATACATATCTATATGGTAATTAAATACTTTTAGATATTCTTCTATAAACTTTAAATTAATAATTTATCATGTTATTGCTCTTAAAGTAGCAACAACATTATAATTAATATTACAGAAGAATGTTATGTTTATTACTCCCGAAGAACGTAATATTATTTTCAATATTCTAAAAGAATATTAATTTGTTGTTCTTGAAGAAACAATAATAAAACATAACATGCTCTCGAAATAGTATATATCCCGAATAATATATATCATATTGTGTTCATGAAGAAACACAAATTAAATAACTCAATGCTGAGTTGTAATTTTTAAAAGAAATTAATTTTCTATATTATTAATATTCAAGAGGAATATTAATTCATCGTTCTTGAAGAGTATGAATTATAATTTTCAATATTCTAGAATGATATTGACATATTACATTTGAATAAACAATGATTAAAGATAATGTGATGTCGAAGTGGCACATTATCGAAGAATATATCATTTTGAATTCATGTTCATCTCTAAAGGAAAACATAACTAATATCATAAGGAAATTGATTAGTTTAGCTATTTGAATGATATATGATTATATAAGTTTTAATTATATTCTTTGAAATTAAATCATCAAATTATATCTTATATTGAATTTGAAGTTCAATTTGACTTTATTATTTAGCATGACCAGTTAGATCATTACTGGATTAATAATGATTAGAAATTAAAAATTCAAATAGATATTTAATGAAAAATCAGAAGATTCTTCAATTAAATCATATATGATGTTAGTTCTCTTTCATAAAAATTTTTCATTAAATATCACTAGCTAAAATAGGGACTGAATTCCCAATACTTTTGAAAATTAACTAGGGTAATAAATATGGTTCCATCATCATCCATGCTAATCATCTAAATATTATTTATATCTAATAAATTTGATACATATATTAGATTATTGCATGATATTCGCAACGTAAAGTTTATAAAATTACTGCTCAAATTTTAAATTGTGAGCATAATTTTCAGATTATTTAGTCAAGACCGTGTATTGTTAGTGCTACTGGACATAAATCTCAACATTTTAGAAGTTTTAGTTTGAATGCTGATAAATGGTTTAACACTGTTATTTGTTAAATACCTCTAATTAATTTAATTGAGAACAAAGTACTTTCCATTTTTGTTTAGAGAATTCTATTACGTATCATACCAACATTATAGTTCTCCCTATTATGATTTACTTATAATCAGAGTCTAATTTTTCATCTAATTATTTTGATAGTCCTGTATATGAAAAATTGAACCATACAATGCATTGAGACAGAAAATAAGGAAGGTTGAGAGTAAATGTGTAGTTTGAACCCTTATCCCAAATAAGTGATATTTTATAATGCTGAA